CTCTCTCTCTCTCTCTCTCTCTCTCTCTCTCTCTCTCTCTCTCTCTCTCTCTCTCTGTGTGTGTGTGTGTGTGTCTGTGTGTGCGTGTGTGTGTGTGTGTATGTGTGTACACACACACAAACTCACTGGGAAAATAATGACATGAACACAGAGCAGCGGAGCAGCCACGGTCGAAAAGTAAGAGGGAGGCTGACACTCACCTTGCAATGGTAGACGGGGAGCGAAAAAGAAGAGGACAGGAGGGCGAAAACGAAGAGGACAGGAGGTTGGCCTTCACCAGCGTACGCGCATCAACAACAACGGGGTTCGAAATTGAATTCAAATTTCCAATGCCTCACTGCTACAGGGGCAGCACAGGAAGATGGGTGCCCCTTGCCAGGGCATATGGGGCAGAGCCGGATGGAATGAGACCGCCAGTTGAGGGAGGGTGTCCTGGAAAGTTGCGCCCACTACGGGCAGGGGCCTGCCGAACAGATTTGCAGACCCAGGGGCGCTACTGGGTAAATCGGTAGCCGGAGGGGCACAGTGCAAACTAATGGAAAATACATGGGCGCAAGACAAACTCCCCTTTTTTGGGGGGGGGTGGCGAAAGGGGGGGCGCTTTTAGAGGTGCAAGGGGGGGGCGCATTTAGAGGTGCACGTTAACCCCGGCATGTATGGGTGAATGGTACACACACGCAATTGCTTCTGTGATCAACGAAGGGGAGATTAGCTCGACAGGGGCTCTCCCTGCCCTTTTAGGAAGCTTATAAAAAAAAAAGGCTCTCCCCGCCTTCTTAGAATGCGGGGAAAAAAAAAAAAAAAAAAAAAAAAAAAAAAAAAAAAAAAAAAAAAAAGGAAAAAGAAAAAAAGAAAGCGAAAAAGGAGACAAGTGAAATCCTACTACAAAAGGGGAAGGCAGATGGGGAAGAATCCAAACATCGCAGGCCTACGGCTTATCGACGTTGGCTGTTTCATTTGTCCGTCTTACTCCTCTTAACCTTCCTTTCCTCCCTTGTCCACTCTTCATCATTTCATTGACTGTATGCATTTGCCGTGGTTCACCGCCATAGCCGTGCCTCTTCCTCTTCCTCTGCATACTAGCTGCTTTCTTATAACGCCAACCAACCAGCCAACTATGGGGTTAGTTATGGCAACCACCACCTCCTCCTCGTCTCCCCTCAGCAGGAGGAAAGCGGGCGTCTCTCGTGTTTCGCTGAGGCTCTGCGTGGCAGTCCTGTTGCTCTGCATTGCCGCAAACAGCCGTGCGGCTTCGGCTCAACCCCCGCCAGACGAGAGCAACGGCGTGAAGGAGGGTCGGGACAAGTTTTACTGCTTCCGCGGCTTCAAGAGATGCATGAGCGGCATCGAGCAGTGCATCAAGCCTGAGCAGGAGTGCAACGGTATCAAGGACTGCGCGGATGGGTCGGACGAGGGCCACCGCTGCAAGTCCTTCGATTGTGTAGCTACGGGCCGGTACACGTGTCCCAGCGGACGGCTGTGTATGAACGTAACCGCAAGCGCAGGTTACATACGGTACACTTACTACAGGCAGTACCTGTGCGACGGCGTGAAGGACTGTGCGGATGGGTCCGACGAAGACCCCAGCTTCTGCGCTTCGTATGATTGCAACACCAACGTGCCGCACAAGCCACTGCGGCAGCTGGTACCTGCTCCTCCGCCGCCACCGCACAGGCGGAGGTGTCCCAGCGGAAAGGGCGGGTGTGTGACAGAGGCAAAGCTGTGCGATGGAGTTGCCGATTGCGTTGGCGACGGCGGCAGCGATGAGAGCGACAAGTACTGCAAGAAGCGCGGATGCTCCCCTTCTTCTCTCTCCAGCTTGTTTCAATGCATGAGCGGCAGGTGCATCAGTCGCCAGCTTGTGTGCGACGGTAAGAAGGATTGCCCCGGCGGCGATGACGAGGGGGAGTTCTGCGAGAAGATGGACTGTCCGTACGGTCGAGTCAAATGCGCAGGCGGGAATAACCGCACCTGCATCCTGTCGAGTCAGATGTGCGACGGAGTGGAAGATTGCCCAGGGGGAGCGGACGAAAAGCGGTGCGACGCGTCTGCCTGCGGAGCGTATGGCTATTCCGTGTGTCCGAGCGGCAAGGAGCGCGCTGCGTTCACAAGGTGCGACGGCGTGAAGCAGTGCAGGGACGGCTCCGACGAAGATCCCACTCTCTGCCGCACATACAACTGCTCCACCGGTGAAGTTAAGTGCAAGGACGGGGTCACTTGCATCAGCCGACCGTCTCTCTGCGACGGAGTGAAGAACTGCCCTGACAAGTCGGACGAGGACCCTGTCTTCTGTCGCACACGGCACAACTGCTCCTTGGCTTCTTCTGCTTTTCCCAACTATGGTAACATGAAGTGCCCAGGATCAGCCTACGTCTGGTGCACCAGCCTCAGCCAGCTCTGCAACGGATATCAGGGAGACTGCTACGAGGGCGAAGATGAAAAGCCGGAGTTTTGCACATCGGAGAAAACACGCAATCTGCTGGGCGCAAGCGGGCGCATCAGTTGCCGAAGTAATATGAGGCAGTTCACGTATGGATATTATTGCGACGGGGTGCAGCACTGTTTAGATGGGAGCGACGAGAGTCCCGAGTTCTGCAGAGGGTACGAATGCCCCGAAGGCAAAGTGAAGTGCTACGGCAAGTGGTGTGTCCCCGGACGCCTCTGCGACGGCAAACGCGATTGCCCGGATGGCTCAGACGAGAAAGGCTGCAGCACCTAGGTGAGTGACGCAAGGAAATCGAACAGCAGCTACGTACGACAAAGCAACGGCGACAGAGCAAGCCGGAGGCCTGTGACGGTGTGACCAGCCTCTTGGGATGACCTGTGCTCACCACGGTTTTAGATCGAGTCTCAATGGCGGGAGAGAGAAACCCAGTAGCGACCGTGTAGTCATCTATACAGAGAGAGACAGACACACACACACAC